AAGTTTATAGTACTATATACCTATAATTAAAATATATCTACTAAATATATTAGTCTTATTATTTTAATTTATATATATATAGTTATCTAAGACCAAGGCCTTAATAAGAGCCTATAGAAAAAAATTATAAAAAAAATTATATTTTTAAAAAACTTATTACTAATTTATAATAAAATAATAACTGTATAGAAAATATATAATAAAGTATATTTAAATTTATTAACTTTATATATTTTTAGTTACTATAGTATTATAATAATTTTTAAAAAAGTCTATAATAAAAATAGGATTTTAAAAACTTAGCTATATAGTTAAATAATTTAACTGCTTAAATATACCAGCCTAGCAAAGTAATACAAAGTTTTAAATATTAAAAATAATAAAATTATTACTATTTATAATATCTACTTTAATAAAAAAAATAATCTAAAAATATGTAAATTACTAAATAATAATTATAGCTACTACTAAGTATCAGCTTTAGTAATTCTACTAATAAAAAGTTTACATAAATATACTTTAAATAATAACTTTAGTAATACTAATAATAAAAAAACTATTTAATAATATTTTTATATACTAAAGATACTAAAATATTAATACTAACTAATAAATAATATTAGTTTACTAATATTTTTTATTTATTTTAATAAATTTAGTTCTAAGTACAGTAATAAGCTGATATTTTCTATTAAAAATCTTTTTAAATAAAAAAAAATTTAATTTTTATATTTTATTAAATAGGTCTTTACTGCTGGAACTATTAAAAAAACAGTAGCTATAAGTATATTATTAAACCAGCTATATATAAATAAGCTATAAAATTATTTAAAATATTTTATTAGCTTACTGTAATAATTAAAAAAATTTTAATATTTTAAAAATAAAAAATATAAAAATTAGTAGAACTGCCCACCGGCTGAAAAGTATTATTAAAGCAGTAAATATATAAAATTAAACTTAATATAAATAATAAAATTTATAGATTTAAAGCTTATTATATTATCTATAGTTTTCTATAGATTTATAGAATTAATTATAATTTTATATTTATTTCTACTATAAAAATAGTAATAGTAAAAATATTTTTTACTATTATAGCAGTATTTAGTTATATTTATAAGCAGAATAATATTAAATAAGTCTTTTTTTATAAAAAGTTTTATAATAATAAAAAAATCTATATAATTTAATTAACTAGATTTAAAAATAGTAGTATTAAGGTCTGTAAGCTATTTTTATTTATTTATAGATTAAAATAATTTATTAAAAACTAATATTATAAGTTCCTTGCTACAGCTACCAGTATTAGAATAATAGTATTTTAAACTAATAAATATCTTTTTATTAAAAAATATAAAAAACTAATAATTTTTTATATTAATAATATTTAAATTACAGCTTTTATAGAAAGTCTTATTAATACTATATTTTAAAAACTTTTAAAAAGCTTTATAATTATTAATTTTAGTAATATTTTATAATATTTTAGTATAAAGATTAAGTATATAAATAGGACCCTGCAACTCTTTTAAAGTATTTTTTTTAATATATTATTAAAACTATAGACCTGGTAAATAAAAAAATCTGTAAAATACTACTAAATAAAAATATTAAATTTATTAAAAGTATAGAGTAAGCTTTTAAAAAAAATATTAAAAATTATTAAGTAGATATTAAAAGTATAATATATTTAATAATATAAGTATATTTTAATATTATATTTACTATTAAAAAACTTTTACAGTATATAAGTAACCTGGCTAAATAATATATAAATAGTCTTTTTTTACTATATTAATATCTGTAAAAAATAAGCAGATATAATTTTTAGTACAGAGTCTATATAAAAAGTAATAATTTAGCTAAATAAATTAGTATTATAGTTAATTATATTAATATAAATTATACTAGATATTTTAATATATACTATTTAACTTCCGGATATATTTTTATATAGATAAATAGTCTAATTTTTTAGATCTTATATTTTTAATCCTATATTACAGCTTTTATATATAAAGCTGAATATATAGTACTTTATATAGTAGCTAAAAAAGCCTATTAAATTATTTATATACTTAAAAATATAAACTTTAAAAATATATATTTAATAATAATATATATTAATAATAAAAATACTATTATACTTGCCTAGAATAATTAGTTCTACTAATAGACTAAGTATATTAATATTATATATTACTAGATTTATAAGGCTATACAGTATAGTAATATATACCTATAATATATTAAGTTTTTTAAAAATCTTACAGATATTTTTACTAAGCTGCTTAGAAATATTAAGTTTAAATATTTAATTAAATAACTAAATATATTAAACTTTTTAATAGTATTATTAACTGCTAATTATAGAGGTGTAGTTAATATTTCCCTTAATTAACTAGCTGCCTATTTAAAAATACTATAGAAATTATTATATTATTTTATATAGAAGAAAAAAAGATTTTATAGTTAACTTATTACAGAGATATATTAGTATATATATATAATATCTTATTTTAATAAATTATATAATTTTAAATTAAACTAAATATATATAAATACTATAAATTTATAGAGATTTTTTTTCCCTTAATAATTAAACAATTTATAAGGTATTAAGCTTTCCTCTTTAAGCAAGCAAATCCATTAGTATTATATTCATAATTAATAAAGTGCAAATACTTGGTAAGGAAATTTCTATTTGCCGAGTGGCTGCAATGGTCTTCCGTATGCAACAGCCTGATCTTTTTGCATGTCGGCTGAGCAAATATCTGAATCTTGGTGTAAGCTAGCACCTCATGTATCTGGGCTACTGTATGATAATATCAATTCAATGCTAGAAAAAGAAAACCACAATGCAATGTGCACTTTATGCGGGGCCAAGGGGTATGGTTAGTATGGAGAAAACTAATTGTGACTATTGCTATGCCTGACAGACCAGTAAGTATATATGCTTCGCTTAACCTGGTCATGCCCACTGTGTAATCAAAAAGCACAAAGCTGCAATCTTTAGAACGCAGTAAAAAGATATGCGATCTCTGATATGCTGTAAAAAAGGGATATGAGCAATTGCCAGTACCTCAGCTCAGCATTTGTGACTATAGATTCACATGACTCTCACCACCAAACTGGATCCCTGTTTACAAACAAATTATGATACTCCTCAGGGTTACTTTACAGAAGATATATATATATACTTAATCTTAGTATCAGCTAGAAACAAACATCTACGGATAATGCATCAAGCTCCAAGACTGAAAGTTCGTCTTGGGAGGATTGCTGACTGTGCATACTCTTTTGACGCGGATTCATTATATATATATCAAGACAAAGTAAACCCAGAATACACTCTATGTTTCGCGCCGTGCAATATAATCTCGTTGGGTGCATGGTACCTAGTACTTAAGTTGATTTGGCGGGGAGGGGGGTGTTTTACAACGATTAGAGATGTTGTCCGTCTCCGCAGGTGATTGGCTTGGAATACATTTACAGCCCTACCTACTAGTACTGTGTATTACTGTATTGAAAGGGTATCAGGGTCCCGGGTCGCGTAAATTCCATGACATCAAAATTCCCGGCTCGCACTCGAGGTATGAAAAGTACCACATATAAGAGATGGCAAAATGTCACTTTGAGAGGGGCAATAGTGTAAATTAGACACTGGTTTCTTACACATGGGCTTAAATCACGAAGGGCGATTTCGTAGGTTAAGAGAGGAAGAATGGCACTGGCAAATAAAGAACAATTGGTCATGTTAGTATTTCCCAGGAACTACATTCCGATCCCGCCGAGACCTGAGAGCATCATCCCCAAACATAAAACCGACAAAACACAGCGCTAAGAGGTTACTTCCCATGGCTTAGGGGTATGTACATTCCCGGAATTTTTGGATCTGTGTGGCTGATTCAAATATGCCCTGAGCACTTCTATTTCACTCACGTTCAATGCTATATGGAGGGGGTGAATGAAGTAGTCAGCTGAGTGCAGAGTAAAGATCCCGGCACTTTGTCACTTGCAATCTAGAATCCCTCGTGCGCAGCAATGCTCTATATAAACCCCGACATTCTCAGTCCATAACTCGAGATCAGCACCAGTATAGTTCACACTCACCAACAAGTTTTCAATCGCTTGTAATTTCAACTTAACCAATTGCCATTTAATCACCTTGAGAAAGCCCCAATCACCACCCTCACCCTCCTCCTCCCACTGACCCTCCACACAGCAACCACCACTCCCGTGGGCGGAGACACCAACCTCACATCCCGGGGCAGGGACTCCCATTATGATCGTTACTCCAGCGAGAATCCCTGCCAGGTCCAGGTGTCATACCCCTTACTACAAATTCCCTTGCGACTCGGCTCGCGAGAACGGGACTCTAGGTACTACGCTTCTTAGGCGCAGGATGAAAGAACGATGTGTGGCAAGGACAATCATACACAGCTGACTACTTCATTCACCCCTCCATATAGCATCGAACTTGAGTGAAATAGAAGTGCTCAGGGCATATTTGAATCAGCCACACAGATTCAAAATAGATATCTAGAATAAACCTCGTTCACCGAATCGAGAATGATGGCGAATGAGCGGGCCTACACCAAAACTGCGGGAAATTGGTGGACTTGGTATAAGATTTTCAATAGGGTGAATATCACTTCAACCATATTCCTTCCCCTCATGGGTTGGTATAGGGCACTGTCCACTCCGCTTTACCGCAAGACTGCGGGCTGGCCAGTCTTGTATTATTTCTGCACTGGTATCGAAATCACCGGTGGTGAGAGGGCACGCTGTTCTGAGAGTATTTATGCCCTATTTAGACTGATGAAACTCCGATACACTGACACCGAGAAAGACCTTATTAAGTGGGAGAGGGGTTGATCTACCCATAGGTTGGCTGAGGAAGCAAATCGGAAGGATCGAGATCTCGGATCCGGACCAGGATCCCGTCGTGATCTGGCAACACCGGTAATACGTCTTCATCTTCCTAGCGATGGGACTCAGGGTTGGGCTGGGATGACTGGCAAGGGGGACTGATAAACGTCGGGATCTTAGGTATGTTCATTGTTCAGCAGGTGACCTTGTCCGTGAATTCGCTGGCGCACTGGCTCGGGAGCTCCCCCTTCGAGGATCGCCTGTCGCCTCGAGACCGTCCTTCTACTGCGGTCCTAGCTTTTAGGGGAAGGCGATCCTAATTTCGACCACAAGCTCCCGTCGGACTATCGCAATGCCATTCACTGGTGGCCCTAACGGTCACCACTACTTCCCCCTTTACCTCGTCTTTATACGTGTGTAATTCATTTACAACGGGCGCCCGACGAGACGAGGAAGACGAAAGAGTAAAGCATAACTAAGATAACCTATATGTAACTAATCGACTCATTGCACATCACTTCCGACGCCTATCACGTACGAAAATCTCCGTAAATGAGCTCTTGTGTGAGGAGCGGCGACTAATCTCGAATAAGGAAGAGGCAGTGATCAGATCACTCAGCTTGTGATACCCGTAGCTACGAGAGTCAAAGTCCGAGTGTCTTGTGGTCAGGAGCTGACCGACATCCGAGAGACTAGCCCATCCTTCGTCATTGCAGGCTGCTTCTACCGCTGCCCGTAAATGACTGGCTAGCTCTGGATTGAGTGGAGCTTGGCTAGCCCGAGCCGACTTCCCAGGCGAAACAATGCGATCGGCATGCGGCGCAAGCTCATCGAGATGCACGAGATTCCCTGTGTAGATGAATTTATCGCAGGCCGCAACGAAGGGCTGTGGCGTGTGGGCTTCCCCAAAACCATACACCACGAGCCCTGCCTCGCGGATCCGGGCGGCTAGTCGGGTGAAGTCACTGTCGCTGGAGACGAGACAAAACCCATCATAGCGGCCCGAGTACAGCAGATCCATTGCGTCAATTATCATAGCTGAGTCAGTGGAATTTTTGCCACGGGTATACGAAAACTGCTGTATAGGCAGGATTGAATTTTCAAGAAGCTTTTCCTTCCAGCCCGAGAGACTATGACTGCTCCAGTCTCCATAGGCTCGTTTTGCATGAGCCGTGCCATATTTTGCAACTTCTGCAAGTAGGAGGTTGATGATGGAGAACCGCGCATTGTCCGCGTCGATAAGAACCGCGAGTTTAGTATGAGTAGGGTCGGCAACCATGAGAGATCAAGTATTTTTATTGAGGACGCTGTGTGATGTTATATCTTAGGAAATATGGATACACATTGCAGAGATTGAGGGATATGAAAAAGTCATGACGGCGTACCTACGTGATTGATGATCCAAGCGGCAGGGTTACTAATAACAGCTCAGTATGGCGGATATTTACCGCCATTAGGTAACTACATAGATTTTTTCTTACTAAGTCTTTTTACTACACGTATTACTACTTCCTTAAGAACAACATGAAGTTCAGAGATATATCTATATATATATATATCCCTTTTCAGTAAGACAGCTACAGGTCTATATATTAATCTTAAACTTTTTGAAGCTGAAATAATGGAAGTTGACATGGTTACTAGATACAACTATTTGTGACGGTATTTGTCGGCGTTCCTAAGCAATCCGGCCACGTGACTCCAAAGGCCTCTTCATCTTGTGTACTTCCGGGAACGTAGCTAGTTCAACCAACCAACCAACCAACCAACCAACCACTAAGAAAATCAAGGATACGTTCCAGCACCTCTCCTCCAAAGCTATTCAAGATATTGACGAGGATGATTGTTGTTGTATTGCCTTTTACCAACTATGCTGGGCTACATACATTTCCCGGAGGGCGGTGTGATAAGCGGTGTACAATCTGACCATTGGCACCGTCGGTGACAGATATAGCAAGTATTCAATGTTTATAAATACTATAGCAGTAACGGTAGGTAACAAATAAGCCATATTATCTACGTAGTATTCTTCTTCTTTAAGCGAGTTACTAAGGCAGAAAGACAGCAAGATGGTGATCTGTATTTCCACGCAGCAGATAGCTAAATACAAAAAGCACTATACCTAAGCAGGAAAGCTCTACCACTTCAAGTAATTCGCCGTCACCGCAGACTACGGAGTAGTATCTAACACATAGGAAAACCAAGAACATGCAAACGCTGGAAACCCGCGCCCATTTATTATACACGTTGGCGACACCCCTCAGCACTCCCTCAAGCGAACCACGTCATCATTCGGCATCTTCCCTTTACTAGTCACACCCATCTTCTTACGCTGCTTTCGACTCGGCATATCACTGCCCTTACCCGGCATGATCCGACCTGGGTGCACCACATTGAGCAGCACCAGCGCCGACAGCATCGGCAAGGAGTCCAGGCAGTACTGATAAGCTTCATGGGCGGGAATTTTGCTGTTCAGGCCCTGCGCATACTCACACAGTCGGAAGATGATCCGCATCTACTGCTAATCAGTCACCGTTCTTCGTGTCAAGCAAACAATCTTGTTACACTTACAGTGATCAGGGCAAGACATGCATAAAGCACATAGAGAAGAAGTAATGCCTTCTTTGCGTCCGAGCGCCGCTGCTGGAGCAACGTACGGTGGAAGGCCACGGCACAGACCACGAACACGAGGACGAAAAACTGCTGCACGCCCACGCCGGCCATGTAGATGTGCAAGCCCGTCATCTCCGTGCTGTAGGAGACGTTGTTGCCGGCTGCTTGGGCGGCTCCGTAGACTTGGACGATGAATGCACTGTTGCATCGTCAGTGTCGTTTTATAAGACCTGAGACGGAAGATCATACATTATATCTAGAGCCACAAAGAAAAGACCGAAATGCCAGGGTCGCACGCGGAGGACGCGCGCGTCATCGGTGAAGTTCCACACCATGCGGCCCATGATCATATAAACGAAGGCGTTGGTCCAGAGAGGCGCAATAAGGATGAGCACGAACCATGCCGCGTAGTCTGTATAGCTGGCAGGATGCAGGATGCTGAGAATGCGGAAAATGTAGGTCACTGTCTGGATGAGACCGGACATGACGATCACCCAGGAGTAGAATTTGCGGTGAAGAATCGCCTGTGCGAGGTGGGCGAGAGTCGTCAGAGCGAAAAGCACGGTGAACAAGTACGCAGCACCAATCGAGGGACAAAAGGTCCACATCGTGTCTGGCGTTGTTAAAGCTATTGGATCGTCAGGGAATTGGTTCCTATACATTTAATTGAAAGAGATACTGTACCTTTACACTGCGTCATGGCGGCGGTGTGGATACTTGATAGCAAGAGAAAAAAGAATAAGGAGACATACCTCTGGTAGTGAGACAACGACTTTAAGTAGGATTCGTGCATCGTCCTGCTGCCTGATGAACAAAAGCTGAGTCGCTGTCATCGTGAAGTTTACCTAGGGCTGATATACAATATTTGGTCTGATTGGCCCGCTCGTATGGACGAACCAATCATATCACGAGGTGTTTTTTCCATATGTCGGGCCCCACTGCACTCCTGGCAGGCTCCCCGGCCACTTCACTCGGCAAGCGACTCAGGAGTGGCCGCCCGGCGACCGATTGAGAGGACTAAGGTAAAGAAAGTTTTCGCAGACGACTGTTGTACTGCGGGAACTCAGACCGAGTTTATAACATTTCTCTGATGATCCTTGATGATGGTCGGGACACGGAATTACTCTTGTGGTCTCCATCCGCAAATCGATTTCCAGCCCCTCAATCTTCCCATAGACGAAGCTTTGATGTAGGATAGTCGGATTTAAGTATGGGGTAAGAGGTCCACAAAGCCGAGTTAGATGCTACGTTTGTGATGTAATCTTTCCAGTCTGTCTGTTTATGAACCATGCCTTATTTTATCAGAAACATTATTACGATCATAATTGAAGAAGTGGAGCTGGATATGCTTTCGAATGATCACTCTCTCTGCCGGTTAGCTACATTGACAACGGAATTCACGTCAGCTATCCCTGTGCTACATGCGATGTTCTTAAACTCAGCTTTCTGTCTTTTCTCTTTCTCTTTGTTATGATCAGATAAGTGTGAAGCTTCAGCGATGATAATATTGTCGAATTTCCAGCAGCAAAGTTGGTAAGGATTATTATACTGCACAAAGGCATAAGCTTGAGTATTTTGATGGACACCATAGACATACGATTCCGTTACATTGAGATCTTCGAGAAGAAACAGCAAGGCATGTTCATACAACTTCAATCGATGGCATTCATTGTTTCTGACGTTAGATACATGGCAAAAAGACAAATTGACACCGGGTAAATAGCAATGATCGCAAAGGCTTCACCAAACGAAATCATAACGAGCGTCTTTCAAGAGGGTTGACCACTATCAATCCCAATCCTACCCTCTCATCTCCCCATGCCAGCTTCAGATAAAGGCCTTAAAACTGATGGCCTCCAGGGGACGCCGACTGTATTCCTCCCATGTAAAGTGATCCAACAGATAAAATCCTTGGAACTCCGCCTCGTCGTAAAGCACATTGATCCAGCCGACGTCCTCCAAGGTGCATCCTTCCAAGGGCTCAGCCTCTTCCTCCTTGTCCGAATCAGACTCTGGGCACCACTGGCCGTTCACCATCCGCACATAGCCATTGAAGTTACCGATCGTCTCCGGATCGGTTGGGTCTGGGGCATTCAGGACTGATCCCACGGCAGGCTGCTTTTCACCAGTAGCAGGACAAGATATGCGTCCCTGTGATCTGGCCCGTCTCACATGTCCCACTCGTCTCTTCATACTTGCAGGTCGCATCGGCGTATTTGTTGCACGAGAGCGTCCCGACTGTCTGATCTTTTGTGGGGTCGACATTCGCGTAGTCAGCCGTGAGCGAGCAAGTATCGTCAAACACCGTGATGCCGGTCAGACTGGTGGGTTTCCTGGTGCCGGTCATCACGCTGCGGGACCAGGTGGTCTCGCGCGGGCAATTGCTCTCGGCGAGACCGACGTACTCGTAATCCAGACCCTGGTAGATGTAGGTGTGTTTGTTGTTGCCCACCTCCTCGCGGAGGAACAGAGCCCAGGCGGACTTGTCACCGTAGGTTGGAAGCTTGGTATTAGTGGAGGTTGAGGCGGCTGCGGTTGCCGTGGTTGTAGTTGTGGTGCTAGTGCTGGTTTTACGCGCCGTGGTGGTCGAGGCGGCTGTGGCTGGGTCTGCGGTGTACCCCAGATACGTGTACCACCCTGAGGATTGGCCCGCGATACTGGACCAGGCGCTGTCGGCCAGGGCCCCACCGTCACTGCCCTGGTCGTCGTTGGGGTTGACAAAGGGGCAGCTTTCGCCTGTGGCAGTCGTGGTCGTGGTCGTGGCCGTGACGGAGCAGCCGACCTCAACGAGGGTGCTGGTGGTGGTGCAGGAAGTCGAGCTGGAGTCAAGCGATGTGCACGAGACCCAAGCATCGGTAACCGTCTTGCGGGTACAGGTGGATGTGGCGGTGGTCTTGGAAGTATGGCTCTTATTCGAGTCTTCATTGTTTGCATTGGGGTCCGGCGAGTTGCCGTTGATGTCGATGCCACCCATCCAAAATCGATTCCTCCGTCATCCTCGTCGTCGTCATCATCGTCATCTCCATCTGGATTGTTATTATTGTTGGACCCTTTGCTTGGACTAGAGCCTCCGTTGTCAGTCGTGCTACCGCTATTGTTGTCGTCGTCGGTGTCAACGTCGCTGTAGGTAAACCCGGTTCCCCTACAGGCCCATGTACAGCCGCAAAAGCGATCGCTGCACAGCTTTCCACAGTCGTTTGTGCACTTGGGGCTCACGGGGCCATCCCCAACGCTGATGGCCGGGGGCTTGGGAACAATGAGGTTGTCATCGCTGTCGTCCTTGCCATAGGGCCTAGTATCCCAGGGGTAAGGTGGAATGATGACGGTGCGCGGCCGCGGAGCATGCGTAACAGAGCTTTGACCCAGAGGGTTAGGGTCATCCGCGATGATCACAGTGCTTGGGGGGAGACGAGGCGTGGGATGAACGGTTATTGGGCTGTCAGTAGGTCCGTTGACCACCACAGGCCAGAATCCCCAGCCGGTTACTTGAACTTGATTCAGACACCACAATGTTAGTCGGGCACCACTGAACTTTCGAACTGGATATACTTACTCGGTGGTATGTCAATCGTAGTCGATTCCGCGACACGGGTAGTTGTTGTCCCGGTTGATACCTCACCGTCGGTCTGCGTCGTCACACTGCTGCCCTCCCATTCCACCTGCAATGTTGTGGTGTATGGAGGAGGATAGATAATTGTCGGACTCCCCAGTGTCGTGTCAGGGAAGATTATCGTGCATGGAAAGGGGCAGTCGGCGTAGGGATCTTCCCAGATGCCTGACCCGACAAAGGCGATTGTGTCGTTAGAGATATTAGACGTTGAGGACGAGCTGGAGGAGTCATGTCCGGTCGAACCAGTGGAAGGGTCCAGTGTGGACCGTAGCTCACAGGCACCATCCGGACAGTACCCTCGACTACACGCAAAGTCGCACAAGCCGTGATACTGGTTGTAATCGACAGTAGACACCGGAACCCCCGTAAGACTGGAGTTGGCCGCCGGAGCGTCGACCAACACCCCTTCTGCCGTACACGTACACGAATGAATCGGACAGTAACCGAAGTTGCAGGCGTAGGAACACAATCCTCCGAGGTTGCCTTCGCCTGTTCCGGCCACGCAGGCGGAGGGAGTGAAGGGGGAGCTGCTAGGAATTGTCAATGGCGAGCTGACTGTAGCACATGCGCCTTCAGGGCAATATCCATAGTTACATGTAAAGCTGCACAGTCCACTGTAATTGGCATCCTCCCCTGCGGCTGGATAGCCCGTAATACCGGTGGCATTAGGCAAGGTTCTTTGCTCCCCGACCATAGTACAATAACAGGCTCCCACCGGACAATATCCGTAATTGCAGGCAAATTCGCAAAGGCCAGCAAAGTTGCCCACTCCAGTACCCTCGACACACACGTCGGTACCGATAGGGCGTGGGATCTTCAAGTCAAGCGCTGGTGAGACGTCACTACCGACCCAAGCGTTCCAGTTTTCGTAGCCGTCATTACAGGTGGTGGTAATGGAGCCCCCGGAGACTTGAGCCACCATTTCCCCTTCGCGAGAGACGGTCACCACCACATCACCAGTGTTCGGATAGGCAACACTGCCGTGGTACATGCCTGCACCCCCATCCGGCGTATGTAGCCACTTTACACCACTCACAACAACCCCACCAACTGTGACCGAAACGTCGGCATTCCTGCCCAGCAGGGCTGAGAAGAAGACATGGTCTTCGACTACTTCGGTGGGAAGGGACTCAATCTGAAGTTGACTGACGGTGTTGACCGTGGTATTGCCGTCGTTGCACGCTGCCCTTGGTTGGGGTCGAAACCAGGTCACCAGTCCTTCATTCATAATAACAGTCGTGTTTGACTTGTACATATCAATCACGAAGGGTAGTAGAGCGCGCCATCCATCATGCGGCATGTTCTCCACGTAATTGAAGGGTGCGCGACCAATGTCGAAGGCCGCCATAGACTTCTCGTAGACCGGCCCGATGTAGTGGGACTCTCCGTAATCATTCCAAGAAATGATTTGGACAAATTCCGGCTGTAAATACCAGACCTCTTGCCAGCGGTCGTACCACAGATTGTCACTCCGCCATAGCCAATTTTTGTTGTAGCCAGGGAGGTTCGTATAGAACCACGGGGAGACCGGCATCATATAGGGCAGACCTTTCAGATAGTCCCGGTAGGAAGCATCCACATAGGTGTTCATCTCTTGACCTCCCCAGGCCCATGCGGCCCAGCTGAAGAGCCCGTCGGCCACACCTTTGGCCATTGCTGCTTTAGCTCCAACGGAAGACCAGTCGGGGATGAAGAAACAACCTGTCTGACCCTTGATATCTACCCAATCGTTGGCATTGTTGGGCCCCTCGAAGGTGGAGACGAATGGCTGCCCGCCGTGCTGGAAGTAGGCACTGCTCGCAGCATACTTTGTGATATATGAAATTACCACCTCCTTCGGCCAGGCACCGTTACCTGCATAGTCGAAGGAGAAAAACAACTTGAAGCCAACGCTTTCCGCCACGGAAAAGGCTGCAGCAAGCGATGCTTCATTGGTTGGATCGCCATAAGCCATGTTCATGGCAAACGCATCCAGGTGGGCTTCGAGGGCCAGATTGAAATCATTGGTCCAATCACTCATAGTGTAGTTTTGGGAGTTGGTGACCTGTCACACATTGATAGTTAGCTGGGGTAGATTCTTCTATGTCTGTGACGGTAACACGTGCCATAAAATGAGCGAACACAGCACGAGATTGCACATGTTGGACTCCTAGCAGGAGTACCAACAGAGGGAGAATCTTCATAGCTGCAGCAGAAGGAATGTAGCGAAAAACATTGATAAGATTGCAGGGTTTCAATACACGAGAACACCCAGACGATGTTATGAACGAATGACTGAAAAGCGACTAAAGGAAAGAATGAAGGACGCTTGAACCGCACTGGACAATATTGGAGGAGGCTTGGGGCGCTTTAAATATGCATTTTCTTCGATCTACACAGCAGGTCCCTTCCTTCTACCTGCAAATTATCTTAGCATTCTACACAATCACATTAGGTAATAAAGGAAAACGATGCTGAGTAATTCTGGTGTTGAAGCTATTGCCGACTCCCTATGTATGCCCGTAACCCAAAGGCTTGCACTAGTCCATCTCATCTACTTTAGCTCAGTTCATACATAACATCGATAACCTAATTGGGCAAGACCCAGTCAATTGTTCTTTCGCTTGACCCTAAGGAGAAAAATCGGACAGTGCTGTCATTTTGAGTTGACTTGTGTCCAATCAGCAGTAGTTGGGTGGACAGGACAGTGTTGCCACTTTGACCACTATTTGAGAAAAATAGGTACGGTATTGCACTTAGGGTTTGTCTTTTCCCTTGCGAGCCCATTCAGATTCGATATTGCATGACTCGAAGACGACTGGTGCACTTTTGCCGGTGCAATGAGAGTCCCAGGGGATCGAGTCTTTGATGAGGGCCGGGGATCGCGGACCACGGCTACGCACCGTTAGTTTAGCGGAGCTTGGTTGTTTCACAGCCTATCGGATCGCCCTATTATGCTTCCCCACCAGCGCCAATCTTAAATCGCGATAGCCCATGATTCTAAACCCCCTTTATGGAGACGCTTGTGTGCTTTTGTATTCTCTAGGGTCTGGTGCTACCGATATATTACAGCTAACTCGGACTGTGAACAGAAAATCTTTTCATATGACGCTCTCGATACCAGCCAGGGCCCTGTAATCCGACATCTGCGGGTCTATCTACCCTCTCCCAATCTCCAGACGTCTAGGCAGCTGCCATCGAGGCAGCTACTGAACATTGCGATGCGACCCCGATATTTACTTCCTCCAAGAAGGTGGACAGGACCCTCTCAACCAATGTCATTTTGGGCTGAATTGCGGGGCCAGAGAAGAAAACAAATCGCGCAATCCAACCGGCCGACTACGGCGCGGAGTCGGGGATGGAGATATTGTGTCTTCCACCTTCCGAAAGCTCTGAGCTTCATTATCCACATTGGTTCTAGCTCGATCAATGTTCGCAAGTAGAGGACCGTGAGATCCGAAATGAACCCAATCATGGTGGAATTAAGCCTGGAAGGAAGTCACAGTCATGCATAGAGGAAAGCGTGCCACTCCATGCTTGTAGCCCGCCATAACCCTAACCTACCATATAAGAGTAACCACAACATCGGTAGCTTCAGAGGCAGAGCCCAAAGCCCTCTTGATTTGCTTGCATTGCATTGAGCGCCTGGCTTGCGAGTTTTGAAAGGTTTCTTTCTGTCCATTCTCTCTTTTTCTCTGTTTACAGAGTGCCATTCGTTAACTATTGTCCTTTCTTTTATCGCACACTGCATACTCTCGTTATATCATCTCGGTGTCGAAACATCCGCATAATACTTGAAGCTTAGCACCCAACAACTTAACAGCAATGGCTACTCCAGCGGTCCTCCGACAGTGCTTCTTAGGGCTCGTTGCCCTGGTCTGCTTGTTCTTGGTACACCAGAGCTTTCAGGTGGCCGGGAGTAGTCGACTGAGCCTCCAAGGACGCAATGTGGATTCGATTACTTCATCACTACTCGGGTGGGAAGACACTTTGAACGTGAGCATCGCTGAGCACAACTACCAGCTTTACAGTCGTGCCAAAGTACCGCTCACTTTCGAAAAGGCCATCTCGAAGGGCCGCGGAATCTACTGTCGGAGCGCAGGCGTGTGGACTCTCGCGGATGAGCCTAATCCCAGCTTCACTTATGACGATCTTGAGGAATACTACTCAGAAAAGCCGTACAATAGGTTTACGAGCGAAGAATCGCTCGGACCAGCGCTACGGGATCTGGGTCTGCCCTACACTGTCTCTACCAACGGAGGAGCGGATGGTAACCTCGTCGGCATGCTTTTCCATCAGGATAAAGGACCAATACGGGTGAGTGGGAATCTAGCGCTTTTCTTTATTATTATTTCTCTTCTTCTTCTGCTTCCGCTTGTTCTGCTTCTTTTCATGGGGAGAGGGACGTGCCCGTGCTGGGCCCCTTTGTCTCGAAAAACGTTACTTACGACTTGTACATAGACCTATATGGAATTCGGGAATCCGATGAGTGTTCGCAGTGGGATCATTGTGGCGGAGTCGAACTGGGGACCTTCTTCACAGGAGGGTACGACAGAATTCCCTCCTTTGAATCGATGGTCCGATATCGCTTTTCTCGCCTATCAGAAACTGGCGGAGGAAGGGGGCTCGATCAATGCACTTCAGTATGTTGTGCGCACCCACTTGCTCAATGAAAATACGAGAGACATGATCCACGAAGTGTGTGGGGGGCCTCCTCCTGTCTGGCCCGGAACTACCTTCAAGATCAGCAATAAGCAGTCCAAGTCAGGAGAATACATCAATCGAGAAGGGCTTGCGCTCCTGGGTACTCCGAATGGCAGCGGAATTGGTTGGCTAGTCATCAATCACAAGCAACAATTCATGGATGGAAGGAAAACTAAAAGGCCAGTCCAGGTTACGGTTTGGAGAACCACAGGGCATTCCGATGGAAAGGATTGGTATCATATGATTTTCCAGTTGAAGAATCTTGCAGCTCTGCGAGGGTAGGCCGGGGGCAAAACCGCGGATAGGAATACTGCCGTGTTGTCTGTCACGGTGAAAAGAAATATCCAGTCGCCTCGACGGAATTGGTAAAATCTAACTCTATAACCTTACTTTCCTGACTATTATTACATAATTCGACCATTTAGACACGGTACAGCTTAGAAGACGTGATGCCTGTCATTGAGTCGCCAGACCACTCCTTTCCTCCTGTGCCTCCTGTGCCTCCTGCACCAAGCGAGCTGCAGCGAATTCAGACCATCGATAATTCCTTTCTCTTCCGTCTTTGAGTCTCGGTGCATAATCGACCGGAACCTGGCTCCCGTCAGGGCCCGTAACAACAGGAGAATTCTTTCCGGTTTCCCAATTACTAGGGCTTGCTGACCAAAGACCTAGGTTGTAGAGCCTCCATCCGTCCCAGAAAACCAATCCTAGTCCGAGTAACGGTCGGGGATCTAGAAGAGAGGCTGTTTGGAACATAGCTGCACGTTCATATGCCTCATACATTGGTAGCATGAACCATAGATTACCAATATTTCGCTTCTGCATGGCAGGGATAGTGTTGTCCCATTGCCCCAAGACATGCGTGCATGTATCCTCCTCGGGACGCGGGAGGGGTGGAGGACTCCAGACCTTGAAGCCACGGAAGGCATTGGCTTGACAAAAATTGCTGCCCTGAGGAACCTGGTGCCTAAGAGACGATGCATCGGGCAACTCCAGCCAAAAACGCAAGTAAAAACTGTCGAGGTTCGCGATCAGTGGTTCTGACAAGTTTGGCTGGAGACAAATATCCTGCAGACACTCCGACACAGCCCGCATCTCATCCCCGGTGGGTTCTCCCTCTTGTGTTGGCCCGCGTTGAGGTCTACTGGAAGGAACGCTAAAGTCCGAGACTCGTAAATAGAGATGGAGCTCGCTGATAGGCCAGTCCAGCTGGTGAGAGACATTCCACACATCTGAATACAGCTGTAGATGCCACAAGGCTCGGTAAACACGGTACTCTTCCGCCCACGATGGAGGACCGGCTTCTTGCGCTGGGTATGGCTCTCCCCCCTTTAGCTTCCCGGCCGCATCCCTCCCGTAGCCTATTGGTTGCACCGCTCGGGTGCGTGCCAGAAAGGTGGTTAAGCAGGCGCACGCCAGCCGCTGGATGTTGGCTGCAACCCGGACCATGTCCCGCAGCACAGTGCCGGTCACAGAAGTGGGGCTCAGAGGTGAGGAATAGTCCTGTGCCATAAACTCGGCTAGGGTCAAATTGCATCCGGAAGAGAAGGTAGGGCTCCGGAGATCCGCACACATCCGGAAGAACCGGTGCAGTCGATGGCTCATCATTGAATTTGTGCGCAGGATGTTCTCAACGAGGTAGATGGCATCGGGGTGGGCTTGATCCGAACCTCCCTCGAGGATAAACAGCGCAGCGATGCGTGGCGAAACTCGAATCAGGCTGTCAAGCCCAACCCAATCAGCGGCTTCCTCGCTGATTGAAGATAGGAGCTCATGAGGTAGGGCGCTGAGGGGGTCCATATTTTGGGGATGAAAAGAGCTATTCAGGTATAATTGACGGTACAAAGCTGATGAAAAAGGTAGAAAACTGTTCAGATGCTGCTGCCTTGGCTCTTAAAAGGGCCTGCAAGCCAAGATAAGGCCAAGAAAGACTAATTGAGACTATTGGAAAAAAATAAGGGACTTGTTTCAGACCCGCTCTGATGGTGGGGTGGAGCGGAACCGGACAATTTCCGGCCCCTGCACGCACAAGGGCGGATGTTGCCGATGTTTCCGCCACCGGACTTCGCTTGGGTGATTAGCACAATACTGTACTCCGTATATACTAGTAATATTAGTGGTGCTTTTTCTGGCTAGACAAATTAGAGATTCAAATTCAGCTTGTCTTTGATAGTTATTTGCTGCACATGTCAGCCCCTTTCTGACTGATGGCTTTCATCACTTATTAGGTGTCTTTCAAAATATCCTTCTCTATCAAGCTTCTTCCCTTCACTTTTATCCCTAACCATGATCTTTCGTGCCTCAGGACTTGCTACACTGCTAGCTCTTGGAGCCAGTGCTTCGGTTCCACCACAACCGCGAGCTCCTTGCACCCACTCAGTCATCGAGGATACTATCTCATTTTTCAGTCATGGAGCGGTTGCAGTCTCTCGACAAGTGACCAATGCCTCTGCTTGTGCCGCTCAATGTGCAACAATGTCCACGTGTCAAGCCTGGCTATACTCGACCTCAGGGCAAGAATGTCAACAGTATCGCGAGCAGCCCGTCTCCAAGGACTATAATCCGCTATTTGTATCTGGAAGCTGTCAAAGGCCGGCAGCAGTCTCGCCGGTCTCGTCGATTGCTGTTCCCTCGGCCTCCTCCGGAACCCCGACTCCGTCTCTATTTGCAGTGAGTTTTCTAAGCCTTTTCTCCTTGTCCATCCTCTTTTCCGCGCCTGGAACCACTCTACTGATATAATGAAACCCCTTCAGACACCAAGACCTGCAGAGTCTTCTGCTGCAGTTATCAAGCGCGAGCCCACCTCGCATCATCACCATAAACATCGTCATGGTCATTCTCCTCACTGAACAGGCACAGAACCCAGCGTTAGCTCAATCTCCCCAGAGGCATACTGCTTTCCGCGATTTCTCTTGAGCTCTGCTCCAAGAAGACATTTTTGGGGGTTGACTCTGCAGTGTCTGACTGTACTTGATGAATTCAAAATTCCAAATCCCTGCAGCATATATAATTACATTGCAGGTGGTGCAAAAGTCTGTAGGATAGCTTAATCAGAGTACTGCACCGGACATTCATTCTATGTTAATACAATGTTATAATCAGCAACTTTTCTATTTCTCCGTCACCCCTCATAGGTAAATATTGTCTGAGGAGTCTGTTAGCAGGCAGTATGGATGGATTTGCCTTAGGATTAGTCTATATGGCTGAAGCCGAGGTCAAGAGCATTGGACACTGGGTACACAGGGATCTTATATCCCATTGTGCGCAAGTGATTTCAGACAAGGGATCATAGTACGCAGTTTTTCTTGGAATGCAGAAACATCACTTGTACACTTGAATAATTGTAATCGTGCTTCAACCTAGACCAACCATTGTACCTTATACTTTGAGAGGAGCATCATCCTGATTGGCCCAGTCCTCATTGCAGCTCTCATTTTTGCCTTCACGTCGTTGCATATCCATTCATAATCACAGTCGGAAAGTCGCAACTGATCCGCGAAGAAGTATCAAGAGGATCTTTGAGAGAATGCACCAGCTGTTTCTTCTTTCGTTCTTGGTTGAAAAGCGCCACCAGGAACGATTCAACATCATGCTCATAAAAGCGCTGAGCCACTCGGTCATTGCCCTGTTGGACTTCACGTGAGATGTGTGTATGACGAGAACCTTCCAACCATCGTGTCTCACTTGTCCAATCTCCACCGAACCCCGACGCCGCCACCATGGACCACGGAATCAGCCCTACAACTACCCTAGCAGTTCCGTCGCCTCCTTCAGGCAGGTCTCGATATCCTTCACGCAGGGGGTTATTACGTTCCCACCGGAGGCAATGTTGTAAACGTCATGTAAGATCTGCCGGGGTGAGACCATGTTGTTATGCTGGGCGGGGCCTGCTCCATGGTCGGGCGAGACTGGGACGTGGAGGACCGGTGCGCTCGCATCGCTGTCCGGCAGAGGATTGAAAGCATCGTGGCCTGAGGGCTGCCCGTGCACCCGGAAAAATCTCAAGTCAGTTGGTGTTCGAACAGACTACAGCACTCGAGGTTACCTACCGGGAGATCAGTGGCATCCAAGTTCCCGGTGGAGGGAAACGGCGCAGCCAAGACGCCGGCCGCAATACCGCTGAGGAAGAAGACAGTAGTGAACTTCATCGTTGCTCGAGAAGGATGGAGGTCTGGGTGGAGTACAGTCTCCAAGAGGAGTGGGCCAAGACTCCTTAAAGTACTACTTCGACTTTCTGTACCTGTTGTTGTGAGTGCACGATCAGAGGGGAGTATACATGACTATTGACAATTAGACTCTTTCCAATCTATCGAAGAGGCAAGGGTGGCTGATCATCTACATAGCACTTCATTAGATTTAGGTATTGCCTGCGCGCAACTCTGCTACTCCGCCTCATATAAGCGATGGCTGTATCTAATTCACCAGACAATCTCTGTATCTAGGGACTGTCACAACATTTCTGCACGTCAAAGGGGTAGACACGCTGATCTCGAGCTCTTTGCGGTAAATACGAGTGTCGATGCCCGGCGATGCGATGCGCCGATCGTTTCCCTTAGTGTATTTAGAGTTACATTATCAAATATATCACAACCTCGTCAGTGGGATCAACATAGCGCGGGCAAGACGCCAAGCCGTATCGGCAAAGTTATCCTCGTGCCCTAAGTCTACATCACCTCATGATCACGATCTCTCTTGCTGTCTATCTCTACTCGGTACATTCAAGCACAACTCTTGCTCCAGCTTAAGGTTCGCATGACATGAGGAGAGACATAACCTTCCAATACATACAATAGATCATTTGAACATGATGATGACCACCACTAAGCTAGTCACAATCCGAGACCCAACGCTACTCCGCCCAACGTCAAATGCAGACGCCGAGGTCGTCACAGACTACCCCTTCAACGGGCCCTGCAATCCCCCGGCGCTGCTCCATGGATGAGGTCGTGGTCTTCTGCTCGGAGGAGAGTGCCCTCTCGCCAAAAGGAGGTGGTAGGTGGACTCCAGGCAGAGCGCCAGAGATAAGACCAACGGGCTGCTCGTTGCATCCGGACACATCAATATTCCATATCCCAAGAAACTTCATATGAATGCGATCACGGAAGGGTCACTTACCGGAGGGTCGGTGGCATCCATGCTGCCCGTGGCGGGGTTCTGAAATGGTGCAGCCAGGACGCCGGCTGTGAGACCGCTGATGAGAATCAAGGCAGTAGGGAACTTCATCCTGATAGAGACAAATAGACGTTTTGATGCTGGTTTCTCGAAAAGTAGCGAGGGGAAGGGGTGCAAGGTCGATTAAAATATGGTCCCGGGACTGTCAGTACGAGATGTGCGGTTCAGGGGCGCACTATATAAGCTCAGGTATATTATAGAGACTGTTCAAGTACGGAGCCGTGTAACAAAGGTTATTGAACTGCACTAATTCTCCTAGTTGAGATTAATATATCAACTTTTTAATGTGATATATCATAATCTATACTGCTTAGAAATAGTTGACAATACTATTACTGATATAAGTAAAGACCTTTTAAGCTAGTCTCAACCTAGTAGTTGTTACTATAGTTGAACTTATTTATCATATCTTTTAGGGCAATTTGTACCAAGTTTGGCTTTCTGATTCACTGCTTTAGGCTATACTTATATATTATAAGAAAATTTTACACCCACTATACACCAAGGCAATTAGCGCAGTTCAATAACTTTTGTTACACAGCTGAGACGGCCATGACCCTATCATTGATATTTTCCAACCACAAGCCCAGGGAGCCCCTTGCATACCTTTTACGTACAAACTTGGAAATATAGGCGCCGATCTTCAGCGCCTTGCCGCAGATCGCGGCGCAGCAATCTCAGGAACCGTCTCCCGAAGCATGTCCAAAGTGGTGATATATCAGTTTCATGTAACTTGCTGCGTTTTCATGGCGGTGAAATCACGAAGCGCTATGCTACGGATATCTTCCCATTTATTCGCGTGTTCAGGGCTTTATACAAGCACCCAGAATATTAGTAGGACTGTCCGGGTTTATTTGGTTGCTATGACCCCCCTTTCCAAAGCAACTTGACTTACTAAATAAGATTACTTTAATTCACGCAATGTTCCGTCCATCAATGCCCCTTCTAGACATACAAGCGCTTATTCGATCGGCCCTTGTCCCGTTGGCCTGGTATACATAGCTGTGCAAACTCCCATTCTGCAGCCCCCAAAACACCAGCCATGACCGTATGCGCCCCGGGGTCCGATAGCTCTACCTCCGCACAACTACACCCGGAATACAAACGCCAAGATCTTCACAGACGTCCTGTCTGAGGCCAAGATTTTCACCCTGGCGCTTCTCCTGGCTCGTGGCCACATCCTTGTGCTCAGAGGGCACTACCCCCTTGTCGGGGACAGTGACTGGTACGTGGGTAATTGGTGCGTCCGCACCGCCTTCTGATGGAGTGTTGGACGTGCTTTCGTGGTTTGCGGGCTGCTTTTGTACCTAGACGTATCGAGACCTAGCATGATGCTTGATGATTAAATACACACTATATTTGAAACAAGGAGGGCACTACCGGGCGATCTGTGGTCTTCAGGCTTCCCGCGGAGTGGTTGTGGAGTGGTGCGGCCAAGACGCTGGCCGCAAGACTGCTGATGAGGATCAAGATAGTAGGGAATTTCATGATGACAATGTGACCAGAGGTTCTTGGGAAGCTTTGTCCTTGAGAAGGGAGACAAGATCTACTTAAATCAGCTCCGGGTTCCTGTACATTAGTGTGGTCGGACAGTGGTGTGTGTTGGGGGCTTGATGTACGGAGTAGCGGTGATTAGACGTTCAACCGATCATAAGACTGACTATTGTATTACCAAAATGAGACTATGCATACATGTAACACAAGTTATCAACACTGATGGAAAGTTCCTTACCGCTAGTCTTATACTAATACTGCAGCAATAGTATGCACAGCAACTCGTTCAGACTCGATATCAAGCTTGCCGCAGCAGTGGTGAGACTATACAGAACTACCTCACCGTGGTTCATCTTCCACTGTTGGCAGAGCCACTCCAGTTGCCAAGACAATACCTTTCCGCATCATATGAAGCCTCTTTCCATCAAATCCGTCTACAAATCCGCGTCCTCTATCCAAGCAAGCCTCTTCTCGTCGATGTCGCATACACACGCGCATCATTCCTCAACGTTGTTACTGTATACACTAGGCACTCGTCTACACATTGACTGATCCTCCCTACCATTATTCTTACTGCCTTTCCTTGCTGAGTAATTTCATAACAATCGTGCCAAATAAGTTACCCTCCCTCATCCCCTAGCCCCCCAAGCAAAGCGCCCACTGGCCCCTATTACCACCATGGCCACGAGAATCAGAACAGGAACCCCTAGCTCGCTCCTCACAATCTTAGGTCAGCTACCACAAGCCCTGACTCAGCCTGGAACCTCGGGAGGCCCGGCGACGGAAACCAGAGGCTGGGGGACAGAAATCTCGGGAACCGAAACTTGGGGAGCCGTGATGCTGAGAGGCAGATTTCCGGGGATGGTGAGGCCTTGACGCTTCGTTTGGAGTGAGGCCGTGACCTTCACTCTGGCTGGGATTCCCACAAGCGGCCTGAGAAGCTGTCCTGCGAGGAGCTGTGGGCTCCTGGCGCTTCTGTGCAGAGGGTTGGAATTGGGCATGTCACCACCGTGGCCCGTGGACTGTTCGTGCATCTGTACATATCATAAATACTCTTCAGAATAATCCACTGCAGATAGTCTGCTGAGGTGACTAACCGGAAGATGAGTGGCATCCAGGTCTTCTGTAGAAGGGGGGCCCGGAACCGGGACAGCCAGGACACCGGCTATAAGACTGCTGGTGAGCATCAAGACTGTGGGGAATTTCATATTCCTTTGAGATGGACAGAATATTTGGAGTAGATTACAACCTTCGAGGAAGGTGACAGGCCTCTTCTAAATACAGCTCCGGATTCCGGTATGGGATTTGCGGCGAAGCGGGAGCCACATAGACTGCCTGTAGTGGTGATTGACATTGACCCAAGGTTTGGCTAGAGAGATCACTGTTGAATTGATACGATCGCTCCCTGACTCAGAAGAGCCTATAAGCATTAAACTAGGGCTTCTCGCGCTGAATATTGTGCCGATTCCCGGCAATATTATGCATGAATTTCCATATCGACTCCTTCAGAATCGATCTATCATATGCCGATCGGCTGGTTTGATATGTGCAGTAGATACTTGCCAGATCAAGTCAAAGCCCGTGGCTGTCGTCCAGCTCTTGTAAGCACTAAGTTATGTACCAGTATGTTTACATTTCTCCAAAGGGGTGTTGTTGGACTCTCCCCAGCCTCTCAGCCACCCTATCAAGAGTTTCTGTAAGATAGCCTGAAGTCCACCATCCCCCCTTTCTCCACGCTTGTGGTCGGGAACAAGATTCTACCGGGACTTATGATGGAGGACGTGGATGAGTGCACAGCCCAGCTATATACGCCTACCCGAGGAAGTATTTGTCGGCGGCCTTGCGGCCTCGCTAGCCAGACCAGGCTGCTCTTCGTCCGCCGCCCGCCCAGGTTGATAGTTTTTGTTCAGATATCCTGACCAATCTAGTACTCTAATCAATTATTAAGAATAGACTCAAGTGTTATTCTAACGTGTAGGAATAGTAGTAAGACTTTATAGGCTTACCTTGCCATTGCCTTCTTGCCAGAGACCCTCTATTCATAAATATAATAGACCTCTTTCGAAAACCCCCAGGTGTCTTCAAACAAAGCAAGCCTCTTTGGTACCAATCTGACCTATACACATACGAGCGCTTAACCGCCCATCCATTGTCCGCCTCTCGGTTTCCACACAAGATAGCTATACATGAGCCCACCCAAAATCTCCGTCCCTCAACCCCTGAAGCTCACACTATCTACCCAGCCCCATTGTAATAGTCTGGGGGCAAAGGATCCTATCCTGTCCCTGGTAATCCTGGACAACTTGCTTGCAACAAGCCGCGTTCAACCGGTTACTCCCGGGATCTCTGGAAACGAGATCTCTGGAAGCGGAATGCTGCCGGAGATCAGTTGACGCCTCTCCCGAGGGGGCGGATGCTCCGAGGGGGCTGCTGCCCCCTGTTCCGGCGGGAGGGGGACGGGTAGTGGGACGTGGAGGGCCGGGGCGCTTCCGTAGCTTGCGGGCAGGGCGTTGGAGACGGCGTTGTGGCTTGTGGAATGCTCGTGCTCGGGCCGCTGCACTCGTCAATTCTCTGATACTAGGGGAAAGTGTATTTCTTGGGGCAGGGAGTTACCGGGCGCTCGGTTGCATCGAGGCTTCCTCTGGCGGGGCTTTGGATCGGTGCAGCCAGGACGCCGGCTGCGAGGCCGCTGATGATGATCAAGGCAGTGTGGAACTTCATGTTGCTTGGGGATGGGTAGGGTTATCGAATGAGACTCCCAAGAGGGGTGGAAGGCCCTTCTTGAAGACAGGAAGCTCGGGTTCCTGGATGACATACGGTAAACGGGGGCTGTACGGAGTAGTTGGGATTGCCAATATATTGACCTAGAGGATACCGGCAGCTGTGGGATAATGCAACCAGACCTTTACAGGGTAGTCAATAACAGGGTATTCATGTACTTGAAAGGAGTTATTGGCGCTGGCCGGGAGCTCCTGGCTGCAACCATTGTGCTGATATTTGCCAATAATATGCATGAAGCTTCCCTACTATTTGTTCAGATGTGAAGTATCATATATGCATTGACTTGGGGATATGGCTGCGCTCTTGTCCCCAGCCAAACTTTACCTACTCGTGGATCCCTCACTCATGTACAGTAACACAAGCTACCTCCACAAAGGGGCTCTTTCTCCTTCATTACTGTAATATACCTGCCCCGTGGTCGCACGTGCATATCACCTCAGGCAAGTATACTAAAGAGGCTTAGTCTCTTCTCATAATTCGACGCATCAGACCGTACATTCTATAACCATCTGCCCACCTCATCATACAACCTCAAGCACTCTGCTGGCTGTTGTATAGTTCCTGTTCCAATTTACGGTTCCGAGGCCGGTAGCCCAGCAATGATCGTATGTAACATTTGTTACGTGACAAAATCACATTGGTTTGGTATATCCTAGATATATTTTGCATCTGTTTAAACTTATTATAGTATAAAGCTACCTTTACCGGTTACCCCAGACTGATGAAAGGTCAGGTAATACATTTTTAGCGGTATGTAACGTGTAATTTAGTCCGACCCACAATACTTTACAACGTCTGTAAAGCTGAAATAAAGCTAGTAACTACGGAGGACCCATTGCTCGATCGGCTCCACCGTAGCGGGGTCTTGCCGAGCCCGCGCCAGCCCACAGTCCCCGTGCACGGGGCCTGCTAAGCGAACGTGGAGCCTGGTCCGTGCCGAATGCTTGTTCCTTGCCTTTTCTCCATCGAATGCCCCGGTTGGGATACTGACGTCATGGTCAGGTACATCGGTGCTAGATCTTCTTGCCGACTTGGCCTGGGGGTTGCAGCGGTTATCTTGCGAACTGTACACTGTGATTGTGCATATCGGAGATATGTTCAGCTGTGACGTTTGAGAACAGAGAAAGCCATAGTAACTGTGAATTGAGGAATGAGCTCTGGCTGCGGTGCTGCAAAAGCCAAGCTTTCAACATGTCATACTCATTGTTACACTCACAAACCAAGGTGTCATCACATGATCTCCTTAGCCCTTCGTCTTGACCCCGGTTTATTTTCCGTACGTATTCCACAGAGGCCAGATCTCGCTCTGCGACGCGCATTTGATAGCCGTAATCATGACACGGAGGGCTTGGCAACAGCAATGCCAATGGACGCTCAACGCCATTGAGACAACGCCATGCATCTTTGCGATGGAATCAGCCACGAATAGCAGAGCATGCTCTTGACTGTGGATTTGGCGGAGATCCTTTCCGTCGGAGCAAGACTTCTACGAAACGAGGGGCGGAGCCCGAGTGATGAGCCGGTGGGCTATTCTCGTCCTCTTCTGCCGTAGTCTTGCGTCTAACATGCTATTTTCCGCTCGTTGGCATGGCGGATGGTACCAGCTCGCAGACGGCAAGCTACATCAGCATCCCCTGGGCAGTCGCAACAAGCTCTGATGAGCTTTGCCCTTACTAAGAGGAAGTCATCGACCATCCGTCAATGAGCACTAATCCAGTGGCCTTGCCAGTGCTAACCAATCCGTCGACAATCAACCACACAGGATTTCACATCCAGTTCAATTGTGTCAAAAGCTCTCAGGAAACTGTACACCTACCAACAAGGAGCAAAACGCCACCCCACCACCATTCCAACCACAACCTACATCCTCCCCCTAACCTCCCCAGCCCCACCCCCAGTACCAGCCCCCGCCAACCCATCCACCGCCCTAATCAACGCATAAACCGTCTCCAAGACCGGAACATCAACCCCCACCCGCCTCGCCCCCTTCACCACCGTTCCAATAATAACATCCACCTCCATGCGCCGCCCCATCTCGCGATCCGTCTGCATACTCGTCCTCACAGCCCCCAGCCCCTGCATGCGAGCAATCTGCTCCTCGACCAGAGTCTCGCGCAGCTCCACGCCAGACGCATGCGCTACGCTGACCACCTCGCGCATCAGCCGCTTCGTCAGCGGCAGCGCCTCGTCCGAGGACCGCAGCCAGGCCTGACAGTCCTGCGCCGTCAGGGTGGTCAGCGTGTTCCAGGCGCAGTTCCACATCAGCTTCTCCCAGCGGGTGCGCTGCAGGGCGTCCGGCGCGAGCGGCGTCAGCGGCGTCGGGTGCGGGTTCTCCGGCGTGCTCAGGATGTCGATGAAGGTCGACAGGCGGGGCACGGCGGATGGGTCCGTGGGCGCGTAGAGCCCCAGTTGCGTGGCTTCGGAGGTCGTGTGTGTTGTTACCCCGGGCGTGGGTTGGTGGGCTCCTACCCATGTCTTTCATATCGGTGTCAGTATCTGTTAGGTGGAGTGTGGTGGGGGAGTGTGGAACCAGTCGCAGGATTCTTGGGGGGTCGGGAGGCCGTTGGTGGAAGAAAGGGGTATACGTACCACGCACGAGATGATCGGGTTCTCGGGGTACAGCCGCCGGAACGGCTCTTCGTTGCCCACGCCGTTCTGAATGATCACGATCGCGGTGCTGCCCGAGATGGCTGGCGCCAGGGCGCGGGCGACGCTGTCCACGTCGATGGCTTTGTTCGTGCAGACGACGTAGTCGAATGGGGCGGAGTTGGGGGTGAGTTCCGACGGCGCGCGGATCACTGTGCTGTCGTTAGTGTCCAGGCTTTCCTCGCGGGCTGCGGTGGGTGGGAGGTGGGTAATGCTCACCGCGGTCCGGGTGGAAGCGGTGCTCGCCGTGGTTGGCGCTTTTCAGCAGGATGCCCTATCCGGTCAGTTGTTAGTCTTGCAATTCAGCAAAAGGCGCAAGAAAAGGGGATGTACATTCTCCTTGACGGCGGCGTAGTTCGAGCGCGCGACGACGGTCAGACGCACGCGGGGACAGCTGCGCAGGATGAAGGCGTAGAAGGAGCCGATGCTGCTTGAATTAGCCAATTTTGTTGATTCTGGGATGCTGGACACTCACGCGCCGAGGCCAAAGAGGAGGACTTCAATCTTGTCAGACATTGTGAGGTTGTTGCAGTGTCCAAGTGCAGACAGACACCTGCAGGAACTTAGATATTTGGGGTTGACCGGGGCGGGGAAACGTGGGGGTTCATTGAAGGTGTTGCATCCCGTGCGGGGGTCGGGCCAATTCCGGCGGGATTCTGTCCGGGTGAGCTGACATCCCACGTTTTCTGGACAGTACGCAGTAACGTTAGACTTCTTACTGACTGACAGGTTGACTGCTTCCTAGACACATGGCCACATAATAAACCAAGGCCCATTGACCCAATGGTTGAGAGCATAATCTAACTGCACTGACACTAGATAGACCTTCAGTGAAATCCCACATCTACAGTACATCTACATCTGCCACCCGTACATCCACCCAAGAAACCAAGGTATTTACCAACCCCCACCCCCTTCACCCACTGCAAAAGAATCACCGCAAAACATTCCACACCCCCGTCTCCATCCACAACTTCGTATACTGCTTATGCAACCAAAACACATGCGCCGGCATAGGCGGCCCCCCCGCATTGTCAGAAGGTGTCCCCTTGAAGAACACACTCTTCAGCCCAAACTCGGCGACCCCCTCCTCGGGCTTGACCACCGCCGAGATCTCAAACAGCCCGTCGGAGTCGCGCACCCCGGTCTTGCGGGGGGAGTCGCCGCACCGCACCACGATCCGCTCGGGGGTCTTCTCCACAACTTCAAAATGGTCGGTGATGCGCGTGCCGACCTCGTAGTTGGCGGAGCGCAGCTGCTCCCGGGTCCACAGGTCCGTCGCGGTGGCGGGGGATTCGTATTTCTTGGAGAGGTAGCGGCGTTGGTAGGCGTATCCTTCATTATCATAGGGATCAGTATTGGATTGGATTGGAGCGGGGAGGAATGGGGGATGGGGAAGGGGAAGAAGAGGGCGTGATGCGCTAGCTAGCTACCTAGCTAGGGACCTAGCTGCGTAATGGTGAGGTAGAACTCACCCCAACCACTCCACACCCCCGCGCAGAACGCCTCGGTCAATTTGCCCTTCTTCTCCAGCAGCGAGGGATTGATGTCCGCCAGCCGCACGCGGCGGATGCACAGGTCGTGGCTCGTGGGGTTGTTGTGCGGGTTCAGGGTCTGGTAGCCCGGGGTGTGGAAGATGGGGTCGGTGGTCGGGAGGGGGACGAAGGTGGAGTTGCGCGTGGCGAAGAAGAAGGCGCCCAGGGTGGCGGTGCCGCCGAGGGTGGTGAGCTTGAGGGCGCGGCGGATGAGGCCCATTTTGTTGTGCGCGAGGGGGAATTGGTGATGATGGGAGGAAGTTGGTGACGGTGACAGTGACGGTGACGTTGGCGGGAGGGAAGCTGGCTGGATGGAGGTCGAGTGAGATCATCGGTTGCGGGAGCGGAGGAGAGAGAGAGCATCGGATCGGATTTACTCCGGTTGCGCTTAGCCGATATCTTCACTGTACACTCCAGGAATGAGAAGTCAGCTACGGAGTAGTATGCTGGTTTAAATCTTCAGTCTTTCCTCAATGATTCAAGTGACAGTTCAACTTGATCCTATTAACAGAATGAATAGCATCCACTTGGTATCTCTCTATCCACAACAGAAACAAAACAAACCCACCGACCCACCCAAAATCTGTACACCACAAACCAAAATATAAACATCGAAGAACCAACACCACACTCCACCCCCTAAGGCCTGGGCCACCTCCCCATCCAATCCCTCACATAGCGCCCCAGAATCCCATCCTCGACGATCCGCAACCTCCCATTCCGCAACGTCACACTATCCCGCTCCGCCCGGTCCGTACAGAACCCGGGCTCCTTCCTCCCATCCGCATACATCGCCTCATAATGCGCCACCAACTTGACCGCAGGGTTGACCCCCTCCTCGCCACGCGCCTCACTCTCCCGCAACCGCGCCAACCACTCCCCAAACCCCACCGTCCGGAACCCATCGAACCCGCACTTCCTCAACCCAGCCAACAACTGTTCCCACTCGAACCGATGCGGATTCGTCAGGTTGTACACGGAATCATCCATCTCGCCATCCACACTCCCGGCATCGGACCCAGTCTCCGACGAGAAAGAGCCCCGCCGCGACGACGGCGGCGTATGCGAGCAGACACGCGCGATCTCCAGCACGGCCGCGACGAGCTTATCGACCGGCAGCCACGCGCACTGCACCCCGTCCAGCCGCGGCAAACAGCCCAGCGTCCGCGCGGAGCGGAGCATCAGCGGCAGGGCCTCGTCGTCGTTCCACAGCCCGCGCTTCGAGTGGCCGGAGACCTGGCCGATGCGGAGCGAGAACGCGCGGGCGGCGGCCGTGCGTCGGGCCGCGCTGACGATGCGCTCGCCGATCAGCTTCGACCGCCCGTAGCCCATCTCGAGGGCACTGGATAGATCGGCGATGGGCGATTCGGGGACCGTGGGCTGCGCGGAGCCTAGGGCCGTGGAGATCGAGCTGCAGTATAGTAGTACTGCCGGGGAGGGGAGGGCAACCTGTAACGAGAAGTGGAGGAGGTTGTGCAGGCCGCGGATGTGGAGTTCGAAGGCGCTGAGCGGGAGGTTGAAGTTGACCGGCCATGCGGTGTGGATGATCAGCGAGACGGAGCGGAGCATCTCGTTGTAGACGCTGGCGTCGAGGCCAAGGTGCGGCTGGTCCAGGGCGCTGGTGAGGGCGACGATCTTCTGCGTGCGGAAGGCGGGGATGGCTAGGTGTTTCTGGGCGAGGGAGTCCAGGATCGAGGCTTTCGCGTTGGTGCGTCGCGTCAGGCAGTAGATGCGCGAGACGCTGTCGTCGTTGACGAGTTTGTAGAGCGTGTGCGCGCCGATGGAGCCCGTTGGACCGGTGAGCAGCTGGGAGGGTCGGTTAGACACTGGGAGTAAGGCTGTTTGTGGGAATGGGTAAGGTACTTACAACGCTCCGGGTGTTGGCCACCTCGTCCGGACGAGGGGTATGCACCGGGAATCCCGACGAGTACTTCTCAATCAGCCCCGGCATCAAGGCCAGCTCGTCCTCGTCCGCGGCCCCACCCTCCTCGGCGTGCCCGCTCTGCGCCGCGGAAATGCACTCCGCCAGACGGGCGATGCTGCCGGTCTCGAACACGATGTTATGACTGATGCTGCGGCTGCTCGGGAGGCGGAAGTCGCGCAGGATCAGCCGGCGCAGGTGGATGGCCTTGAGGCTGTCCATGCCGTCGGCAAAGAAGTCGGTCTCGAGGTCGAGGTGGGACATGGCTAGCTCCTCGCGGCAGAGACGCAGCAGATGCTCCTCCGTGGCCTGCAGGTCCAGCTGCAGCGTGCCGTGCGCGTCCTGCTCCATGCGGGTGTACATGGCCTCGATCACATCGGCGTATCGCGCATACACCTGGGCGCGGATCATCGATCCCTTGTCGGTGCGGGGCACGACGCGGTCGGCGGCCAGCACCACGACCATGTCGCGGGAGATCTGCGAGAACTGCTCCGCGTGCGCGTTGGCGTCTTCCACCGTGGGCCACACGAGGTCCAGATACTCGGCGTCCGAGTAGCGGTGCGAGCCGTCCGCCCGGAAGACGAGCAGCCCCGGCACCGACTGGCTCACGCCCACCACCACGGCCTCGTCGACCAGGGGATTCTGCTTGATGCGGCCCTCGATCGGAAGGGGGAGGACCTTCTCCCCGTTCACCAGCGTGATCCGATCGTCGATCCGCGAGACGTACTTCCACCGATCGGGGATGGTAGGGTGCGGCGTGAAGACGTCGCGCGAGTGATACGAACCAGGCGGATCGTCGGAGTTCGAGGCTGTCAGGGCGGGATGTCCTTGGAGATAGACCACTTCGTACAGATCATCGCCAATGGGCTTCATCCAGATGAAGGGGCGGATGTTGTCGAAGAACTTCATGTAGTTCCAGTAGGGATCGTCGGCGGGGCGGGAGATCGACTCGGCCACGAGTCCGGCTTCCGTTCTGTACATTGACCATCAGCGACAACAAACAAACATCCGTCTGGACAGACAACTCACAGTCCAAAAGACCCGCCAAATTTCACCCCCTCTGCGACCAGCCGATCGCCCAGCTCATCCGGACAGGGCGCTCCTCCGTATGTGACCGAGTCGCAGCGGCGCAGGACCTGCAAGCCCCGAGGACTGTCGACCAAGAGCTGGAGGAGGTAGGGCACGCCCTGCACAGACTCCGGACGGGCGGCCTCCAGGGCAGCGACCGCCGTGCTGGCCGTCAGAGGCAGCGAGGCATCCCACATGTACGCGGTGCGGCGCATGTACATGGCCTGGAGGGCGGTGGAGAGCCCGTGGAGATGGAACCACGGCAGGGAGTTGAAGGAGGTGTAGCCGGGGCCACGCATGGGATGGGTCATCAGGGCCTTGTGGCTGAGGTACAGGGGTTTGGGGTTGCCGGTGGAGCCGGAGGAATGCAGGATCAGGGCGATCTTGTGGATTTGCGTCTCCGGGCTGCGGCTGCGGCGGAGCACCAACATGGCCGGTTCCTCGACATCCTCGTCCAGCGACGGCCGTTGCACGATGGGGCGGCAGGCCACCAGCTTCAGACGCAGGATCTCCCCCATCGTGGTGCGGATGTTGGGCGTCTGGCCGTACAGGATGGTGTCGCAGCCGACCATGTCGAGCAGGGCCACGCAGGCGGACGCCGATAGACGCGGCGACAGCATCATGACCGTGTAGCCTAGTCGGCTCAGGGCGAAGAATGTGACGACCATGTTCAGGTCGGAGAGCGTGAACAGCGCGACGATGGCTCCATCCTGACGGGGCTGTTGTTCGGTCAGCTTGGCCCTACTGGATAATAGTGGTGACTTACCGGCTTGAAGCCATAGTCCATCAAGGTGCACACGGCTTGATCGACCATGCAGTCCAGGTCCAAGCCGGAGAAGTACTCGTACTCCACCGTGTCGTCTTGGGAGGGTTTGGGGTAGGCAAGGATAGGATGCTGGATGGGGTCCGCTGCCCGTAAACGGATCAAGTCATCCAGCAGATGAAGACGACCGAAGCGGGCGATCAACTGTTCTGGCGACGAGGGCTTGGGCCTCTCGTGGGAGGTCCCTTCATGGTGAGGGATGCCCATGGTGAAGGATCAAGGTGATGTAGTGGGTCAGAATGATTTCGAAGAGGTATCATCGGGCGCGACTCGAGTCTTTTAAACCTGAGGAGACCTCAGGACGGTGAATGCGCTGTGTAAGAGAAATGCACCCCCATCTCCGTACTGCCACTCAGCGGGGCCACTTTGATACCCCGATTGGGGAATTCACACATCCTTCAGGTTAGTCCCGGCAACTATACCAGTGGCAAGCCGGCTATGAAACCGACCCCTATAATCCCGTGGCATCATAGATCTGAAGCGGTGAAATTGGTATCCAGTCTAAATCAGGACTGGCGGTCTTGGAACTTTTTTTTCTTTCGTATTTTACCTTTTTTTTTTTTTTTTTTTTTGTGATTTGATTTTCTTTCTTTTACCCTTGCTGGTGAGCATGACGTGGGTCGGGGGCAGATGACGAGGAGAGGAGAGGAGAAGAGGGGGGCATAGTGACGGAGCAGCAGAGAAGCTCAAGCCCTAACTCTAACCCATCGCACGGGCCCAGATCGGGCCCAGCCCCATTAAGCACGATCGGGACGAGTCGCGTCTGTTCATTGACCCTATTCACTTAGTCTGCTAGCGTACTTCCATCCTCCCAGCAGTTCCCGTCGGTCAGGGCAGGTATCCGACTACTGGATGGGTGAGTGAGTGATGAATGGATGGTCACACTGCAGCGGCGACTGCACGAGCGGGTTGCCAGGCGATCGCCAGTGATGATGAAGTAGTTGCGTGATACTGCATGATGCCGTCCACTTTTTTTCTTTCTCGACCGTCGTCAACCAGCGTCTAGAAAGAGGGAAGTGGCCAGGATGCGCCCAGGATGTGACCAGGATGATGCCCCAGTCACCCGGGTTGTCGGCTCCAGGAACCTGGTTCCCCCCCCCTTCGCAGCATCAGCCATTCCAAAAGTGCCGCGGGTCGATCGACGATCAATCTGGTTTTTGCCCATTTGGTGCCTAAGATTATGATGCTTATTACGGAGTATTATTCTTGTCTCTGTCCACAATGTGTCTCAGCACAGTGGGAAAACATGGTTCAGCCCAAGGGGGGCAGATTTGGGGGAAATGACAGATGTCTGCCAATGGAAGATGAATCGCGGTGCTGTGGCAGGCAGCGGGATGTGAGAGGAGACACAGGCCCACTGTCGCGGCAAAGCCATACTGCAACAAGAATGAATGACTGGTGTCTCCGTCGCTGAAATCAACCTTGCACCCAAGCTTCATTTTTAGCTTTGGGTTTTTCCTTGAATAGAAATTCAGACCACAATGGTCCACTGTTTTGGTGGAGCTGGCGGAGTGGCCGTGTGGCGAAGAGTTCCCCGACCGAGCTGAAGAACCTCCATTTGACTGGAAGAGGTCCACGGTTCTCGGCGACACTACCGGACTTGGGCAGGGGGGGAGAGGGGAAGAAAAGAATAGTTCACGCAAGTTAGCGAAAGGCACGAACTGCGCGTGCAGATAGGGAATTCTGCAGCAAAGGCGCCTGTCTGAGTGTCTGAGTGTCTGTCGGGGTGGTGGTTGGTGACTAAGTCCTTTCTGCAGCAGGGTACTCCGTACTCCGTACTTTTGGCGAGCTGAAGGAATGACAAATTCTCCGCCTCACTTTGTACGGTCCCGCGGAGTACTTTGACTCCATTTTGTTAGTATGGGTGTTGCAAAGTGACAGATCATCTCGATCCAAACTTGGACTCTCTGCTTCGTCCACCGTGTGTACTGGAGATGGCTCAATGGGCCAATTCCCTCCGTAGATTCTCCGGCAAAGTACGGAGTAGAGCAGCTGAGTTCGGGTGGAGACACGGCGACTAGGAACTTACTCCATATGAGGTACCGTACTCGTACAAATGATCGATGATCTATCCACAGGCTAAGACAACCTGAAGGAGGTTAATAGAGCCGTGCGACCTGATTCGCTCTCAGCAACTCCCCTCTACTATACAACCCCATCGAGCCTGGAGATCTTCCGGAAAGGCTCGGGGAAGGCCTTCTTCCCGTTCCCTTCCCGCCATTATTGTCCTCAAACAATGGGCCCAACCCGCCCTTATTCACTGGCCTCTTCCATCAAAACATCGCCTTGTCAAGTTTGATACTCATCACTTCTCTCAACGGTTTGCTTTCTTTTCCTTCCAGACGACCAGGCCTCACCCATTCTTTTATTGGTCGTTGATTCCTCTTTTCCAGGCTGTCTGAACGCACCCTGATTCGCTGAGGGAGGTAGGGGTAATTTCGACCCGCCACGCCCGGAAAAAGCAACAAGCAGCAATATTGCGTCTTTCGATGCATGAGCTATCCAATCGCCCAATCATTCTCTGGCAATTAGATGATCTCGTGTCGTCAGTCCCCTCCATTTTCCTCCACTGAAGAATTTTTTTTTCTCTTTGCTTTTCTGTTACACAGGGATGATCAATCAGTCCTGGCAGCAATCCCTCGGTCCCACAGACCAGGGTGGTGGCCCATCCCGGCTTCAGCATCTCAATCATCTGACTGAAAGTCCATGCCTGGGACTTTTGGACCGTCCTTTGTTCATTTCTGGACTGTTCAGAAAAAAAAAAAAAGTCCTTTCAGGTACGCTTCCGCTGGGTTTTCGGGAATCGACAAAAAGCCACGAATTGAGGCTGGTGGTGAGGCCTAGAAATGATCCAAGGAAAAAACAAAATTCTATGATTCGGCAGCATCTATCCGGGTTTATCGCCTGCCTCGGTTGATCGTCTGCCCTCAAGATCACCAAGTGAGCACATGTCCAAAAGAACGGAGTACCGCTACGGAGGAGTGCCTCGAAGAAATCCTGAATCAAGGGGAACGTGCTGAGAACGAATCATGGAGGTGTTGACGATCACTCGATCTGGTTGTTGCTCGCAGCTTGCTCGCTCGCTCGTTCGCTCGTTCGACTCGACTCGATTGACTTTCCAGGTGACTGCGATCGCGACGCTCTGAGCGTCTCCCCTCCACCCAACTGATCCAGCCCATTCGCTGCTCGCAAAGGTTGATCCATGGAGATGGGGACGGGCTCCATACGAAGGAAGGGACCCGTCGCGGCGGCTAAACCAGCTCCCAACAGACCGTCCTATCCAGGATCCCGGGATGAACTTGGGTCGTATCTCGCATGATCAGAAGGGGTCCGTGGATGACCTCGTGTGAATAGTGGAAACCAGGCTCGTGCATGCATTCTCCCCGCGTGAGGGAGGGGAGGCGTTCAGGGCGGTGGTTCTACATGACTTCAAGGTGATGCTTTACGGTATGTCTGCGACGAGGGGAGTGACGAGACACACCTGGAGGAGATAAGCGAGGATGACGACTTGCTCGATCTGTAGATTTCACTGCGCAGCGTACAGAGTAGATGTCAGGACTCCGATCGTGCGAATGTGATACTATCCCGGTGCAGAATGACGGACACCGTCTGGAGGCTGTGGCGCTGTGTGGCGCTGGCGACCCCGGGAAGGAAGACGATTGGAAGCTTCTCTCCGAGGGTGGGATGGGCATTGATAACGCCCGATGGGGCCCTATTGGAGGTGATCCGGGAATGCATCACGGTCGGATCCTTTCTCAGTCAGCTGTGTCTGGCTGGTTGCTCGCCCCCATTGATGTAATCTCACTCCGCTGGCGCGCAAGTATACCTAGCGTGCAGAATAGATTGAAGATACCGAGTATAGTACATCATTGTGAACACCACCATTGAACCCAGTTTGTCAATCCGCCCAACATTCATCGCAGACCAAAACCAGTTTCAACGTGCACCCATTCCACTCCTACCAAGATAATCCCTGTCGTGCAGCATCACCACCACCGGAAGTGCATCAAACGTGTAACTGTGTCCAACGTAATCCGCCTGCTCTCCCGTTTCGTATTCATTTTTTCTCAAGCCAAAAAGAAAATCCAAAAAAAAAAAAAAAAACACACCACCCCCAAAACTAAATTAAATCTCCGAATCCTTCGCCCCCTCGCGGGGTCTAGTCCTGTCATCAGCAAATTATTGGAAACCCTATACCCTCTACTGATAGAGTACCCCTACCGACCAGTCTTGCACGGATAGCTGCACGCCTCAGCCCGCATCCCAGGATCAAACCCAGTGCAGGGTCTAGCAGTATAAAAACCCTAGGACCATGCCAGATGATTCACACCGCTGTTCACCCAAGCCTGATTTCTTCCATCGCTGCAAAAGCAAAAGCAACTGTACTCTTAGACTTTGTTAGACTTTGTTTTTTTTTCTTCTGTCGACTTCTGCCCTAGACGCGCTCTAGACATTCTATAAACCTTGTCGAGCTGCAATACTGCAATTCTTGTCCTGACTGTGCATGAAGCATACGCCCTCACTTCCACTTGCTTTTCTTGACTTTGCTTTGCCAGGACTGGTCCGGCACCATGGCCCCGATTTCCCTCTGTGATGGCAGGAGCAGCAGCAGCAGCGCCAACAGTACACCCACGCCCACCGCACCAGAATCCTTCCTTCCGCTGCTCGAACAAATCAAGCAAGCCGTGCAGCAAGAAGAGAGCCCCGAGCGGACGGCCAAATCCCACTTCCAGCTCCTGGGACTGGTGGACCAACTGCGCCTGGCGATTGAGAGCCCGACCGAGACGCTGCTGCGGTTAATCTACCAGGTGGGCCGTTCACATCTGGCAGCTACCATCCGCGTTCATCACTAACTAACAGCTACCTAAAAAAGCCGCCGCAGAACGCCGCCCTCCGCACCGTGATGGACATGAACCTGTTCCCCCTGCTCATGGACCACCGCCCAGCAGGCCTGTCCGCGACCGCGCTGGCCGAGAAGACCGGGGCGGAGCGGGCGTTGATCGGTCCGTGACCCTGAGGACCTTTTCCCTTCAAAAAAAACTAGTGCAAAATGCCCTTACTGACCGAAGCCAATAAGTCCGGCTCATGCGCGTCATGGCCTCGTTAGGGCTGTGCAGCACCCTAACGGCCGAGCACTACGCCGCCAACGAGAAGACCGCCGCGCTGGTGCAGCCCATTGGTCGGGACGGGGTGCCATGCATGTACGTTTTCCTTCATCGATGCAATGCCTGAGAAACGGCCATCAGACCGACCCAAACCGACCCAACCCCAACTCAAAGCACGCAAGCAGCCCAAAGAAGAAAGCTAACAACCGACAAGCTACGACCTCACCCTCCCCACCCTCAGCACCCTCCCCACCTACTTCGCGACGCACGCCTACACCACGCCCAAGGAATACGCCCACGCGCCGATGAAATGGGCCGTCGGCGCCAGCCAGTTCGAGTGGCTGGCGCAGCACCAGCCGCGCCAGCAGCGCTTCAACTCGTACATGGCGAGTCGGCGCGCGGGCAAGCCCGAGTGGTTCGACATCTACCCGGTTCCGCGGCTCACCGACCCGTCGCTACCGGCACTGCACGACGACCCCGAGGCGGTGTTGATCGTCGATGTCGGCGGCAACCAAGGGCACGATTTACGGGCGTTCCAGGCCCGGTTCCCCGACCTCCCGGGGCGGCGGGTGCTGCAGGATTTACCCAAGGTGGTGAATTGGGAGGTCGGGCACGGGGTGGAGGCCATGGGGTATAGTTTTTTGGAGGAGCAGGTTGTTAAAGGTATGCCCCCCTCCTCTTTTCCTTTTCTTTTCTCTGGGTATGGTTGGGTCGGGGCGGGGTGGGTTGTGGCTGTGGTGTATAGGGTTGCCTGCCCCCTTACGCATCGCAACCCTTCCTCGACTCCTGTAAGCGTAAGCTGCATCACCGGCCAAGTATACTGACAGTGGCACTGCAGCCGCACGAGCCTACTACTTCCGCGCCATCTTCCATGACTGGCCCGACGCCACCTGCCACCGCATCCTACAGAACACCGTCGCCGCCATGGACCCCGCGCACTCGCGGGTGCTGATCGTCGATATGGTTCTTCCAGATACAAATGTGCCGCTGCTTCAGGCTTCCCTCGATATCCAGATGATGAGCATCGGGGCGGGCGTGGAGCGCTCGGAGCGCCAGTGGCGGGAGCTGCTGGGGGCGGCCGGGCTGGAGGTGACGGGGATTTGGAATACGAATCCCGGGATGGAGTCGGTGATTGAGGCGGTTGTGCGGCAGTGATTCTACTGCCGTTGGGTTTGGGGGTGGGGGTTGTGCAGAGGCAGTGTTTGGGTTCGGTGTTTCAACTGGATAGGGTGGTGTCTGTGCGTACCTGGTTCTACTGGTATCTAGGTAGGGAAGTGGATAGATAGATCGATAGATGGATAGATCGGGAGGATACAGGTACATGTACAGGTACAGGTACAGGTATGAGGGAGACGGAGGCGTTCGGTTGACATCTGGCGTTGCGTGGGTTAGGGTTTTTTTGACAGGTCCAATCAACTAAATTAGAAACTCTGTTTCCACCACTGACTGACTGACTGACTGACTGACTGCACACCAAAACACAATCTAAACACAAACACCGGAACCTCCGGCAGACACGAAGTTGCCTTGAATCCTGAGAAACCTCCTTACTGAGTCTGGGGTGTGACAGCAGCAGCGCAGCACAGACTCAATTGACTGCCCACCGCACTCACACCGTCCAGACAGCAACAAAACTCAATTCCAACTCTTCCTTCCAAAAAACCCCAGACCTCACCCCATACACCTTCCACCCCTTGCATGCCCACAACCTCGTAACGCAACCCCCTTCTCCAACTAAACTCCTCCCGCGGCGGTCAAGATCGGGATCTTTCATTTCCGCCACGCACGCACCAACCACACATACACAACCTGGTAGCAGCCAGAACAAGCTCACCCCACAACACAACATGCAACCCCACCCCGGCAATTGCATATAAATCCAATCCACATGAACATCGCTAGTCTCCGGGCCCTAACCTTTGGTATGCACAATTGACATCGTATTAGCATACTTTATTGGAGTTTGAACACCGAACGGGTGGAGAAAAGATTGTCAGTCGGAGCTGTCATATTGGTTTACCGCAAGGGGGTGGCGGGGGCGGTGGTGGTGGTGGTGGTGGTGGTCATGGGGTTGCGGACTGGAACACAATCAACTACAACCGACTACTCGGTGTTTCACGGCGTTCAGATCCGGAGGGGGGAGGGGGCTATCTTAGCACCGAGAGTCACCGAGAGAACCATTAGGAGATGTGGAGGTTGGGTTCATGGAGTAAATTGGACTGGTTACAGTGGCTATTGTTTTGGATGGCGCCTTCTCGGTTCGTTGTGCTTCCAGCTTGGTTGGGAAGCAGAGTCGGGGATACGGTGTGGACAAGCACTGGAATGGCCCCTGGCTCTCATGTCGAGGCTGGAGTCTCTGAGTACATCGTTCGATGGCGTTGTGGTGGTGTGAAAGTGGACTGCGGGTGAGCCAGGCTGGTCGTTTGATTGCCTAGCTAACAAGTTGCTGATACGACAGGCTAATACTTTCGTGTTCTGGCTGGACTGACTCGGGAGGGTTTGCATGTTTCTATAATGCGCTTCTCTGAAGCCTCATGTCTACACTACAGTTCTGCACGATTCGTGAACAGCCTTTCAGACTCACTTGATTCAACTATTTAATCTATCTAGATCGGACAAGTAACAAATTTGAAGCCAGCAGTGTTGTGACATCCAGGCAGACACCACGCCGGCATCAACATGGGGACGAAGTTATAATACATGAATCCACGATGAAGGGAAGAGATCTTCCATGGGATATATTGCAACAAAAACATTTTCAAAACAATTATGTCAAAAGCTCTAAACCAGCAACATCATGGCGAGCGCGCCAGCAATGCCGGACGCACCGAGGGACAACTTGCTAGCACCACCAGTAAAGAGGGCGGCGGCAGGAGTAGTGGCAGACGATGAGCTGGAGCTGGAGCTGGAGCCAGATCCCGAGCTGGAGCCCGAGCTGGAGGTTCCAGAGGTGCTGCTAGACGAGGTAGGAGCACTCGTGGGAACGCCAGGGGCGGCGAGTCTGCTAGAGGAGGGGGCGACGGAGAACGAAGGCACAGCAGAGCTGGAGGGGCCGAAGCCGATGGCATCGGCACCGGACGGGATAACGCCAGAGCCGGAACCGTGGCTTCCGCTGGAGGAAGCAGAGCTATCTTGACCGTTGGCTTCGGCGCTGGCACCGCTCACAGTAGAGCCATTGGCAGATGCAGCCGCAGATGCTGAGTTATTAGAGCTAGCGTTAGCTTCAGCGCTGGCACCGCTTGATGCTGAGACTGAGCCAGATCCAGAAACAGAGCTGCTGGAGCTGCCGTTGGCCTCAGCACTTGCTCCAGAGGCAGTGGAACCAGCGGAGCTACCCGAGCTGCCGTTGACCTCAGCACTTGCGCCAGCAGTAGAGCCAGTAGAGCCGGAGCCGTTGGAACCAGTAGAGCCGCTGGAGTCAGTAGTAGTAGAACCAGTGCTGGACTCAGTAGAGCTGCCAGAGGAGCCGGTCGAGCCAGAGGAGCCAGTCGAACCGGAGCCAGTAGAACCGGAGCCAGTCGAACCGGTAGAACCAGTACTAGACTCGGAAGAGCTGCCGGTGGAGGAAGTGCCAGCGAAGGTGTTTCCAGAAGAGCTACCAGTGGAGCCGGTTGAGCCAGTGGAGTCGTTGGAAGTGCTTCCTGTGCTGCCAGTGCTGCCGGAGGAGCCAGTAGAAGCGCCCTGGTTACCATTGGACTCTGCACTAGCACCGCTGACGGTCGAAGAAGAGGGAGACGAGCCGGTGCTAGACTGGGTGGACGAGCCACCAGTGGAAGGGGTGTTGTCGGAAGAGCCAGTGCGAGACTCTTCAGATGAAGAGGCGCCACTGGAGGAGCCGGTAGTAGAGCCGGTAGAGCCGGTAGAGCCTGTAGAGCCTGTAGAGCCTGTAGAGCCAGTAGCACCAGTAGAGCCAGTAGAGCCGGTTGAACCAGTAGAGCCAGTAGATCCAGTCGAGTCGGTCGAGCCAGTAGATCCAGTAGAGCCTGTCGAGCCGGTAGAGCCAGTAGATCCAGTCGAGCCAGTAGAGCCAGTAGATCCAGTCGAGCCAGTAGAGCCGGTGGAACCAGTAGAGCCAGTAGAGCCAGTAGCGCCCGTTGAAACAGTGGAGCCGGTCGAATCGGTCGAGCCAGAGCCAGAGCCAGTACCAGACCCGTTGGCCTGGGCGCTAGCACCGCTGACAGTGGTTGAGGAGGCAGCAGGAGAAGAACCAGCCCCGCTAGCGTTGGACCCGGAGGAAGCGCTGCCACCGGTAAGGCCAGTAGCACCAGTCCTCTCAGCAGAGCAGACAGTGGCAGTAGCAGTGACGGTCACATAGCGAGTGGACTTGGACGTGGAGCCCGAGGCTTCACCAGCAACAGAGATGACACCGACAGTGGCGACCTGCGAAGTGGATTCGGACTCGGCAGAGGCGGTCTCGGCAGCGGCAGCGGGAGCAATGGTAGTGGCAGCAGATGTGGCGGCGCCGTTGGTAGCAGCACCATTGGAAGAAACAGCAGTAGTGGTAGCGGCATCGGCGGCAGCAAAGTTGGCAGAAGCAGTGGTAGCAGCAGCGTTGGTAGCAGCAGTAGCAACCGAAGTCGAAGCGGCAGCAGAGGCGACAGACTCGGTCTCGCCGGCAGTAGAGACAGACTGAGCAACAGAAGTGGCACTGCCGGTAGCGGCAGAAGCAGAGGCAGAGGCAGAGGCAGTCGAGCCACCAGTCTGGAAGATCTTGATGTAGTTGATTTCCCAGAAAGATTCCTCAAAAGCAGACGGGTTCTCAGCAACATACGCAACACAGCTCTTGGTAGCACTGGTCTTGTCGCTGATAGGGCAGCCAGACGAGAGGAAGACACCCCCGGCCCAATCACCACAGAAGGTAGTGTCGAAGATGAACTTCTGGGACTTGAAATGTTCGGCGAAGTTGCAAGATCCCTGCAGGTGGCCCATGGGAGTGCCGAAGGCGGAGATATCGGGGGTGCCAGCAGTGATGGACGTGGGGATGGAGTCACGAGCAAAGTACCAGAACTTGATATAGTCCTCCTGCCACTCCATAGCATACACACCACCACCTTGCTCGTTAAACGGGGTGCCTGAAGAGCCCTCCGAGCTCTGGACGACACAACCCGTGGTTCCAGCATCCTCACCACAGTGAGTGGCGGTCAAGGTACCGGTCATATCACTTTGGGCGGAGACATCACAGGTGCCACTAGTGTGAAGGACAATCTCGCTAGCCGTGTTCAAGTTGACAGCCTCGATGATATCAATCTCACCATCGGCTGGCCAATTGGCACCGGTCGACCAGAAGGCAGGCCAGGTACCGCATACGCTACCGGGCATGTGTGCAAGATCGATGATGAAAAGACCGTGGTCATAGTACTTCTTGCTCTCGATGCGGACCGACTCACGACCGGGTCCGGTAGTGCTTAGCTTTGTTGTGTGGTCAACACCCATATAGAAGGAGCCATTGTTGTTGACCTTGACCAGTCCGGAACTCTCCGCATAGCTTTGGTTAGTGTAGGTGACAAAACCATTCGTGGGGTCGGCGCCGGTGTAGAAGTCGAAGTATTCGAGGAAACCCTCGCCTTGCCAGGTTTGAACGAGGTTGTAGCTGGTGGCAAGGGCAGGCGAGATAAGAGCGAGTGAGCTCACACTCAGAAGCTTGAATGAAGAAGGCATCGTCACTATTGAGGTCAAGCGAGCGAGGACGATGCAAATGTTAGAAAAAGGAGGCCCTGAGGAAAGGTAGAAGATGAGATCGCGGAAGAGGCTTTCCCGCAACGACTGGCGTCAGTAAGGGTGGTAAGGAATGATAGACAGACAACAGCCTTCAAGGCCGATGACGTGGATTGAGAACGACCGAACGAGAGATCGAGGCGCAGAGATCAATCTGCAGCGAAAGGAATCAAAAGAATGTATAGGAATTATGAACAATTGGAAAGGGAGAGAGAAGAAAGGTAGGGAATGTACATCGAACCGACAGAAAAGGAAGTATGCGAAACCCGACTCACGGCTGGGGGCAGGTCAGTCAATAATATAATAGAACCGTAAAATCCCAAATAGAACCATGACACACTTTCACCCGGGCGAGCCCCGACAGACACCCTGCCTAGCCAGAGCTTCAATGTTGAGTGGCTGCGGACCAGCATGGTTGTCGCCGGCCATAGCGAAACGGC